TCTAGCACCTAAGTGTTCTTACTCTCTATAAGTTTTCTTGCAAAGTGACTATCCAGAATTCCTAATCCATAGTTAAGTTTTTTTTCTTTTTAGATTTTATTTATTTATTTGACAGAGAGAGACACAGAGAGAGAGGGAACACAAGCAGGGGGAGTGGGAGAGGGAGAAGAAGGCTTCCCGCTGAGCAGGGAGCCTGATATGGGACTCGATCCCAGAACCCTGGGATCATGACCTGAGCCGAGGGCAGACACTTCACCAACTGAGCCACCCAGGTGCCCCATCTTTCTTTTTTTTCTTTCTTCCTTCTTTACCTCCTTCCTTCCTTCCTCCCTTTCCTTCCTCCCTCCCTCCCTTCTTTCTTATATGTATTTTTTTTTAAGTAGTGAGTCCCCTGTCACAAGAGCCATACCAGCCAGCAATGGCAAATGGCCTTGCTGGGATACTAGTGGTGAATGGGTTGGCAGATTTAGTTACAATAAAAATTCCCAATCTTGCAACAAATTAGGACAATCTATTGGATTTTAAGAAATTCAGATAACTTGGCCCAACTTAGATCTAACAAGATCTAATAAATTCAAGTGTGTAGGGAGTGTGATCCAGGAATATGGATTGGTAAATATGGGGCCCCCCTCCCCCCATGTGATTCTGATCTGGTCTGTAAACAACATTTGAGAACAACTGATCTAGACAGGTTTTTCTTAGTTACAAAATGCTGTATTGCTAAAATTAATATAGAATATTAGTTTCTTTGCTCCTACTGATATCCTACTGACGGATGAGCCAATTTCGATTCCAGCCCTCCACAAAAACAAACTCTTTGAGTTCATGCTACAATTACATTTTTATTCATACAGTCAAGAAAAATTTATTGAGCATCTACTATGTCCCAGGCACTTTCCTTTCAACTCTCTGACCCCCTAAATTAATTGTTCTTCAAATTCTTAGACTTTTAGCATTTCCCACAGTCATGTGTAGTCAGCTCATGAAATGTAGAATACATCAAGTGATCCTTTCAACTCAAACATTATATTTTCAATGAGATAACAAATGTGAGTAAGGAAGACAACATACTCACAGGCTGGAGCCTTCCTTGTCTCTCTGGGAACGTCTCTAAGCATGACTTGTGGCCTGGGCCCTGCCCGCATCACCACACACACACTCCCTCTCCTTCCCGGACCACACAGCAGATGGCAACAGAGAGTCAGGAGCTGCTCTCCTCCCTGGCTCAGTACTGCATTTACTTTACCTTCATGTATCCGCGAAAATCATTTCTGGATGCTTTACAGTTAAGGATGATTGTGAGGAAAATCCAAAAGTATAATAAGCACTCAGAAATGCCAAACGGAGTGGATGCTAAACGCTAAATGTTCATTTGCCAAAAGCAGTGTAGTTTCTGGCAGAGAAAAAATTCAGTCTCAGGGACTAAGAAGTTAAGTGTAACGTAACAGAGAATTCAGTAAATAGAGTAAGTATCGTATCATCAGTCATCTGTGTCTCAACTTGCTTAGCAGAAATCCTTCATTAACAAACAGACATCCTCTATTTACAAAGGACGAGACTCATGGGGTTGGCATTTATGCTATTGTATCTAAGAATTCGCTCTATTTACTTATTCAACTAATAACTTAAAAAACAGGAGAATCAATAGTGAAAATATTTTGCTACAGAATTGCTAGCCTCAATCATTTTAGAAGCCCCGTGTTTCCTCAACACTCTTCAAAACACCTATAATAAGAACCTGACATCAATGGCAAATAGACTTTAATGCACATGCCAGCACGAAATAATTGGTAGAAGGTGTCTGGAGTATGGTGTTGTGAAGGACTGTGAAGTCATGTCCAGACTTTTCAGGAATGAAGTACCTAGCAAGGATGGTGATGTCTGCTGTGGGCAACAGATGGGGCTGGATTTATGCCAATCCTGCACAGAAGTCAACATTATCATATTATATCATAATCATCTGTTTATATGCCTGTCATCCCCTGGGTATTTACTACTTCAGGAGAGAGGCTGTATTTCATTTATCTTTGTATGATCAATAGCCAAAGCAGAATAGTTACTATTCCGTTTGAGGAATGATCGAAAGGTCAGAAATCAAGCAGTAACGTGGGTGGATTTCTGTTCTTTCTGAAGGTAAGATCAAGCATCTCTACATGTTGATGACCGAACTACATACAACCCACACTGTTGTGGGCCAGTCTCAGCCTACTGATAACTGGTGTTGTGTTATCAGTAGTGTTGTGGCTGGGCTGGCCCTTGTAGTACTTATGACTGATTGCAAGATGCCCTCAGCAATAGCCATCAGGAAACTTTGGGAAAAAAATGTGTGTGGGGGGTATTACTCCCAAGCTTTGGAAAGCACATGGCACACCGAGGACCACACAGTGAGGTGGCTCCTGGGTGTGTCTGCAGAGAGAGGAGTGGGCAGAAGGACTAGGGTTCTGCTTTTATAGGGCTTAAGGGTGCGAGGCTGGGGTTTCATGGACTCACTCTTAATCAGTGAGTTTTAAACAAAAGAGCATACCTTTAAAATGAAAGGAGAGGAAAAAAATAAGTGGCCCAAATGGTCGGTTATGGAAATCAACCAACATCTCTAAAACAAAGGAGGGGTGGGGGAGAGGGATGGCTCTTCATCTAGTCCTGTGGCTGGCATTGTGTTTATTTAAGCCATCATTTGAGTAGAAGCTCTTTGAAGTGAAAGTATCAGCAATCAAAGCTTAATAGGTCATGCATTGCATTGCAAACAAGAAAAAATAATAGTCAGGATTTACAATACACATACTCCCCTCTGTTCAACTCAATCTACCTCCTGCCTTAAAGGAACCAGGAACTGTTTTGATTCTTCACTCAACTCTGTTTCTGTGTGTTTGTGTTTTTTAAAATCCCAGTGAAATTAAGTGTTTCTATTTCTTTTTGAAATGAACTTTTGTGATTTCCTCATCAAGTAGTTACTATATCTGCATTTCTAATCCATTGGTTCCTCATATTTACAATTATTCTATAACACCTCTTTCTCCAATTCTCTTTCTCTCTCTCCCCTAACCCCACTCCTCATTTTCATTTTAACAGCTTCTTTCAAGGTCAGGGTGTCAATAATTTAAAGACTGAATTAATAGTTTTAAATATATATATACATACATACACACACTCACACATATTTTTTTTTCATTTTTTCATATATATATTTTAAATAGCAAACTATCAAGGCATCTCAGTTTAAAAAATAACTTAGGTATTTCAATACATTCATTTATCATATAGTTTTAGAATTGAAGAAATCTGCAGGTGATTGTCCTTTTAGTAAATAAACCAGACTTCTCTTTTCTTCCTGCTCTCAATAACAGCCCATTGTTTTTGCACTCGTGTCACTACTAAAGGAAAAAAAAAATTACATTCTACTTACTCATTTTCAGCTTGTTAACAATTCCAGAAGAGGAGTTAAATTGAGTATAATGAAGATGTGTGATTCTTCAGAGGTTTGTTAGTCACTCTTATCACCATGGATGTGAGTAATTAAGACTTGGGATTTTTTAATGAGATTGAAATAATTAACTTATAGCACAGAGGGTACCTGGTCCCTGAACAACCACACCAGTCTCTCAATCAGTTTTGTTTGTTTTGTTTTGTTTTTCCCCAAGCATTTACTCATTTAGGGAATGTACATAAGTCTGTGCTGTAGCCTATCATCCTAAGGAGTTCCCAGTTCATTTGAAGAAAGAGCATCCACACAGAAAAAAAGAAATAATATGGAATTATAAAATAAGGACCACCATGGAATAACCTTGGAGCCATCCTTGGCAACATCATCTACTTTATGTACTTGGTCATTGGTTGACCAAGTATTGTTGAGTGTTCCTGCAAAATATTTCTTGAATTGATCCACTCCTGTCCAGGTTGGCTGTCACTAATTCAAATCTGTTATCTCTAAATTTGTCTCAGGATTCTTTTCTGCTCAGTCAGTCTCTGGTCTCCCTAAATCATTTTCATAGTGAGGGTGATGCTCTTAAGAATTTCATATGATCCTTTTGTGGCTTTGCTGAAATCCCATTGATAACAGCTTTCCCTTTCTCTTGAGAAAATTTTAACATCCCTTTCCATATGGTCCTAGCCTCCCAGTGAGCCTCATCCTGTGTATCTCTCATCTTTGTTCCCTGAGATTCAGTTACCCTTTCTTTGTAGTTTCCATGCCTACACTTTTTTGAGGGCAGGAACATTGTTGCCTTTCCCCCTTACATCCCTCACAAATGTTGGAACAATATCTAGTGCATGATAAGTGTTGCAGAAATGCTTATTAAATATCTTTAAAAAAATCAGAAAGATAGTGGAAGGCTTGAACATGAAACTACAGGAAGGGAAGACACAGACATTTTTGTTCTACTATATCACAGGCATCGCTTTGATCACGGTGTGATTTTATAAACAAGGCATGGCTCACAACATAATGATAAAGATCATTTATATGAGATGTCTTCCTTTAGTTTAATACCAACTTTTAATTGTTTAAATATCCCTCTTTTACTTTTAGTAACAGCTTTGATTAAGTGGCAACTTGGCTAGTTTATAGAGAGCTGTGGAAGACCAGGATTATCTCTAAGGCACGTGTGTATCAGACGCCGACAGTTAGTAGAGAGTGAGCTTGCTCAGAGGGGCCCCCCGAGCGATGCCAGCCTGCCTGAGTTCAAACCCTCTTTGCTACTTACTGCCTATGCAACACTAACTTCCAAATGCCTTGGTTTCCTAATCTACTAGAAGACATCATCATCATCATCATCATAGTAATAGTAATAGCAATAATAATAATATTTACCTGATAGGGCTTTTGTGCCCAGTGCAGAGAAAGTGCTTAATAAATTTTAAAGGCAACTTAAACCAACTTCTGCATCGGGACCTCTGGGTGGCTCAGTCGGTTAAGTGTCTGCCTTCGGCTCAGGTCATGATCTCAGGATCCTGGGATGGAGCCCCGCATTGGGTTCCCCGCTCAGTTTCTCCTTCTCCTGCTCCCCCTGCTTGTGCGCTCTCTCTCTCTCTCTGTCAAATAAATAAATAAAATCTTTTTAAAAAACCCAAGTTCTGCATCTTAAACCTCATTGTGCATCCATCCCCAGCATGACCCTGCCATGTAGTCTTGAACCCACTACTTGCTTATTAAGAAAATGAATCAGTGAAATGAAAAGTGAAATTCTGTGGGTGAGTCAGGAAGAAATTCATGCGTCTTTTTAAGAGTATTATGTCAGTGACCACTCTAAGTCAGGCCCTGTGCTGAATGAGGCTATGAGGAAAAATGAGTGATAGGAGTCCCTATGCTCAAGGATGTAAGAAACTAATGAGGAAAATGGACAAACAGTAGGTGAAAGTTCAGTGAGGTGGGTCCTCTGATAGAGCAAAGCACCAGACACTATGGAAACTCAAGGCAGGGGAAGTAACTGAGCCGAGAGGTGTGGTCAGAGATGATTTCTGACCTGAATTTTGAGGCCCAAGTGGGTAGAACTGGTCACATTTGGAGAGAGAGAACTCAGGAGGACGCAAAGGCCTGGGGCTCACAGAAGCAGGCACATTCCTTTTCGTTGTGAAGCGTCACGGGAACATGCATGGAAGCGCATCAGAAGCAGTTGGATACACAAGTCTGGCTGAGATGGAAAAAGGTTTTGGGGCATCTGAAGCTTTTACAAATGGAGAAGTCTTCTCAGAAAAAGAAAACCACCTTAAATAAAAACCAGGTACAAGAATGAGTGCTTTAGTACTTGTACAGAATTTAAAAGAAATCACAATATACTACATTTAATTAAAAGATGACAAATATTATAAATCTCACAAAAGCCAAAAATAATGTAAGCCCATTGTTATTATTCATATGCTAAGTGATACCTCCATAATCTCTTTTTCTTACCATTTTTGGCTAAGTACTCTTCAATTACTTCAACAAAGAATAACTTCACAGAATCATTTTTCATTGAAAGAACAGAAAGATAATTCAGTCTTTCTTCCAGCATATATGATTGAAATTTATTTATAATAGTTTAGAAATTAGTCTCTAACTCTTTATCGATATCCTGCCTACGTCATTTTCTCTGTAGTTTCTTACTCAGGAGGTTCTTCTTTGCTAGGAACAAAGTCCTAGAGGAATTCCAACATGGACCCCATTCAGCTCAGATAGGTCCTCTCTGCACCGTGAGTCCTGGAATGGAGGAAGGCAGAGAAAATGGCCATGAATCTGGTGATTTTATGGGTTCCAAGCAAGGAGCAGAGCATTATCATTGTCTAGCTTACTCCTTGGGCTCAAAGATAGGATTCAGAAGTTTGATTAGCTCTACCAAGGGCAGGAAGTCACTGGGAGTTGGAAGAAAACAAAGGGTATTTGAAGGGCAGCCAACCCATAAATTTTACCCATAGCCACAGGATCAACACCAGGGCAAAGAATGACCCTGATTAGGGCAACCCTCCATGATTCTAGCCTGTAACTGGAGCATCACTATCTCCTGTATATCTGGGAGAGAACACATGGAGACTTGGAAGGGGTTCTGGCAAGAAAGCTCTACAGCTAAAGTTTCATTTACTGTATTTCTGGGTTCTGCAGTTTAGATGATGGAGCACTACTAGTTCCTAAGGTTTATGCAAAAAGTAATATAATTTCTGTCTTGGAGGAACTGATATTCTCATTGGCAAATCTACCTTGTACACCTGCATATATAATAGCCAAATGTGATTTTGTGTGGGCAGCCATTTATAAATGTTAAATAAATGTCACAAACGGTCAATACTGTTGAGAGGGGAGGACTATCAATTCACATTGGGTGGTCAAAGAAAGCTTGGTAGGGAAAATGAGGCTTTAATAAAATTTTGAACCACAAATAGAGTTTATGTAAACAAAGGCAGGTGAAAAATCATTAGAACTATGAAAAACAATGTGAGAAAAAGCATGAAAGTAGGAATCGAAAGTGCCAAGTACCATTTCAAGTAGCTACTCAGGAGCCACCAAGAAAAAAGGCTGTGTGGACATCACCGGTATTTATGAAGAAATAGTCTTGCATGCTACCGTCATATGTGAAATAGAGTTTGTTAAAATTTCATCTTCAGGCCAAGTAGAATCACAAAGAGAATGATTTCCTTTCCTTGAAAGAAGATAGAAAAGACACTGATTTACAGAAGCAGTAGAAAGAAATAGAAAGCCAAGCATCCCTGCAATAAATACACCTGGATATATTGGCTGTGAAAGTTATTGTTCCTTTCTGGTGGGTGGGATTTGTAGCCTCAATCCCTTAGAACATCCTGAAGAAGAAATCGGAGGGGGAGACAAACCATGAGAGACTATGGACTCTGAGAAACAAACTGAGGGTTCTAGAGGGGAGGGGAGGGGGGGAATGGGTTAGCCTGGTGATGGGTATTAAGGAGGGCACGTATTGAATGGAGCACTGGGTGTTATAGGCAAACAATGAATCATGGAACACTACACCAAAAACTAATGATGTAATGTATGGTGACTAACATAACTTAAAAAAAAAAAAAAAAAAGAACATCCTGAAGAAGAAAGTAACTGCACGTTCCCTGTGAGACCTAAATACCAATGAAGTTCAAAAAATAGTAAACATCGTTCCCTGGATGCCTAGTAGTGGGATTGCAAAATAAAATCGAGGTGCTGCCTTAACCCCGTTATGTCCATTTTCAAGCTGTTCACAAACGCAGGGCTGGATGATAGGGATTTGCATATTCAGTGCAATCACACTGAAACAGGAATAATAGTTAGCTATTCAAATATGTAGTGACAATCTTCCCTCAAATTATAATTTTAAAATGGAAAACAAGACAATAGAAGTAGATTTGTGGAAAAGAAATAGCAGAGTTAATGCCAATAGAAGCTTTGTTACAAACACTCTGAGATTCTAGCATTCAAATCTCATTGCATCGTCCGTGACTTCACTGGCAAGATTCATTTTCTTCTACCATTCATCAAATTTAAACCTGTGAAATCTGGAATTGAAAATGTGTTCTCTCTTAAAAGGAAAGAACCTGTGTTTGTCTTATTAAACATCCCAAAACTTTTCTTTGAGAATGACAACTTCCAAATTAGGATTGCTCATAAGAGCATTTACTACATCAATGTGCATTAAATATTTATTACTACATTGATCTTCTCCCTCACTCCACTCCCTGTGACCTGCCCAGCCTCAAAGAAAAGAGATCTGTACCTATTACTAAAGTACCCTATTAAAAATGTACTTACAAGTCCAAATGCAAATGTCAACACAGAACATTACATATTTGCTTTTCTGATGGTCACTTTCTTTTAAATACACATTGTGTAAAAAAACCCAGACACACACACAAAACCACTTTTGCGTATAAATTTTCTTCTTATAAAAATTAAAAATTATGGCTAACATTTACTGCTTACTGTGTCAGATACTTTGCTAAATGTATGACAAGTCTAATTTTATTCAGTATTCATAATAACCTTATAAGCACACATCATTATTCTCTGTATTTTATAGATAAATTGAGATACAGAGAGATTAAGAAAAATAACCCCTGGCTACAGGGCACTGCGTGCTTACCCTCATAGCCATGTCTAAAGGAAGGGCACCTCATGGAAATGCAATGACTCTTTTTTTTTTTTAAAGGATTTTTTTTTTCTAATTTGAGAGAGAGAGCAGAGCGAGTGAGAAAGAACAGGAGTTGGGGGAGGGGCAGAGGGAGAAGGAGAAGCAGACTCCCCACTGAGCACAGAGCCTGATGCAGGGCTCAATCCCAGGACCCTGGGACCATGACTCCAGCTGAAGGCAGACGCTTAACCGACTGAGCCATCCTGGTGCCCCAACACAGTGACTCCTAATTAAATTGAAATTCTAGGATGGCTAAGGACTCCTTTCTTCAAGAGACTTCATTTTTTGATGGAAACAAGAAAGGAGGGTTTTTTCTTTTTTTTATAATTATGACCATATCCTCTCCCTAATTCACTTCTCAAAAAAAAAAAAAGAAAAAGATTTATCCTATCTATACTTATTAATGCCTAACATAGGCAGATTATCATAATTGAAGGAATAAAGAGGCCAGGACACCTAAGTGGTCCCATGAGTAAGTCCTGAGAAGGACAGGACCTCCCTGAAATTACTTGCAAAAGTTTGAGGGTATATGGATACTCGTGCTTTTCTGATTCTGGGGTTCATGGCTTCCATCACCTTTTCCAAGGCTCAATGACAACCCAAGTCGTTAATCACCAGTGTCTTGGAGAAAATGGACCCCAGAACTCTGCTTTTCAGCTAGACCTCTTAGGATCCGCAGCTTGGGTGAGTTCTGGGTCCACATATACCCCAAAGAACTTATTAAAATCCAGAGTTCCCATGCCTGTGGAAGGGTCAAATTCCATCATGTCCGAAGTGTAAGTTTTCTCAGTGTCCATGTTATATAAATGAGGATACCGGAACTTGAGTCAGGCCATCTCTAGAACTCTTTCCATCACGTACCATGTATACCCAGCAAACTCAACATCTACATTTCTAGAGATGGAGTGACAGGAAAACCACTGGCATCCACAGAGACAATTTGTTTGTTTTGTTTTGTTTACTTGTATTTCAGAGATCAATTCAGGTTCAAATCATTCCTTGCTGGAAGATCAATGTTAAAGAGAAGTTGAAAGCATTAGCTTGTAATGTGTACTTTTTTAAATGAGATTTATTTTCAATCCTTAGGCACAGAGATAATAGGTACAATGTGTTTAAAATTTTGCTGTATTATATTGAAATGATTCTTTCATTCACCACTATTCTTATATTTATTTTGTATATTGGTCACCATGTGGGTGAATGGTTTTCAAAGATGAATTGCTTGGGGATGGGTGCCCAGTCTCAGCCTGCTTCCTTAGGGGATGGATGAGGAGCAATTGGGTGATGCTATTTTAAACCAAGCTGCCTAGCTTGGAAGTTTAACACTTCCAGGTTATGTTCGTTAAACAGTCTGACTCTCTTCTTCCCTCTGCCTCTTTTATGTCAAAGTCAACAGAAAATGTCAGGAGCAGTAGTATGAAGCTTAATATAGAAATATGCAAATCTCTTTTGAAGTACATCTATTACTCTCACTGTTAGGGTGTCTCACTAGAAGGATTAAATCCACAGCTTGGAAGCACTGTTTGGGGTACTTGAAATAAATGGAACATTACATAGGAAAATGGTCATGGATACATTTTAATAGTTTGCCCATTCTAAATCTATCTATCAGGAGACACTTTAGTAAATGAGGCCTTTTGAAGAGGTTTGACAAAATGCAATATTGCTTCTCCTTGAAAGGAAAAGAATTCCTATCCATCTCTTCCCCTAATTTATAGCTAGGTAAAAAGCAAAGCCACATACAGAACATCCACTGTTTAAAAGTCTTCGGTAGCTTTCTTTAGTCTGCAGGACCCTAAAAGTAGCATATAAGGCTCCAGTTTCCACACTTTAGAAGGTCCAATACCTTTACCCTCCAGGGAAGAGGAGACTGTGTGGCCAAAGGGAGGAGACAATCTGACACCCTCGAGATTACTCTCAGGATTCCTAGGTTCATCTAATTTGTTGACCAAATGAAACTGAACTTTCTTCCAGGGCTTGTAATGGTCTCTTCCAAGTTCCTTTCTCCTAAGAGTGAACCATGTCACCACTAGGTGTATCTCTAGTCCCAGTGAATGTTTAAGAAATTGCTGTTTGCAGGATTGTGGCAGAGCTGTGGGCTGGAGTGTCCACATGCATGAACAACGGGCCCCTTTTGGCACAAGGTGGAATCACGTGTGGGGGGAAAAAAAAGTCAACTGTGGACCAGCTCTTTTGTTGTTGGGCCATTCTGTTGAAACCCAGTAAGGCCAACATTTCTAGATAATAGCCTGATCTGCCAGGCCAATATGAAGGTATATATGGAATGTAGGAAGATATATATTTTATTTAACAGTTAGCTTAATTTAGAACTTCTAAAACTTTAGACACATGATACATGAGCCTCCATGTGTACTCTTTGGGTCCCATTTACAAGCAGGTTGCTTCTTAATGAAAGCCTCACCATCTCCCCAGCACCATTTCTTTTCAACACTGTGACTTCTATTAGGTTGGGAACATGCAATGTATTTAACTGAAGACAAGTTCTCTAACACAGTATTTTGTCTTTAAGTGTTCTGCCTGTGCATTTGCCTTGCGAGTGGCGTTCACTGGCTTCCCCATGCCTCCAGACTTCATTCCACCTTGTCCATTAGGCAAACACTTCTTTCAAGAGGCAGCTCTAACATACCTCCCTGATGAGTACCTCCGATTAGTCCTTTGCTAGTGTCCCAGCCCTCTGCTTTCATTTTCTGAGCTGTACTTAGGTGCTTCTTTCTTTATATTGTCAGTTGTTCCAATAGCTTCATTTACTAGACCCAGTTGTGGTTGTTAGTTGTTGAATACAGCTACATGTTTTCAGGTATTCTTCTAATAGCAGAATCTATCTAGAATATCTGCTTATTAAATGAATCCATAAAAGGACTTGGAAAACATGAGATTCACCAATGGCAGGTTTGCAATGGGGATGGGAGGATCAGGGGCTATTTGGAGATACTACTGATAGCCCATATGCTTAAATCACAGATGGTAGGTAATTCAATAAGGTGGAACACAAGTAAAATAAATACTATGTATCTAATCGATTTTGAAAACTAAGTATAATTATTCTCTTGTTTTTACATTCCTAGGTTTATGAGCACTTGGAATGTATGTACCAAACATAATTTATACTCATCAGTAAGTACCTTACTCATAGCCAGAGTGAAGAAAAAAAATATTGAATGAAAAGGAGATATATCTATATATCAGTATCTATCAGATCTATTTGATACTATGTTACTTCTTTATTTTTCCAATTTTTATCACAAAATGGAAGTGCTTTTTTTTAAAAAAAGATTTTATTTTTAAGTAATCTCTACACCCAACATGGGGCTTAAACTTACAACCCCAAGATCAAGAGTCACATGCTTTACCAACTGAGCTGGCCAGGTGCCCCCAAAATGGAAG